CATATCAATAGAATAGCCAAAAAAAAATGGTCATATTATGATATTGGTACTTTATTGTGCTATTTGTGCGCAAATTAAAGAGATGATATATTGTTCATATTTTGTTTATTTATATGCTATTTGTATGATCTTAGTTTGAATGATTTATTGTGATTTATTGACAATAAATTTTATTGTGAGCATTTGAAATTGTTTTGAGTTTAACTAAACAAGAAATTAGTTGAGAAAGAAAAGTTAAGTATTCATACAATGTGTAAGTAATTTTTCAAAAGATATATTTTGAGTATTACAAATTAAATAAATAATATATATTAATGTTAAGAAGTTTTGACAATAAGTTCAATTTTACACTTTATTCTCAGAAAGTTTATTTTAAAAGATATTCTATATTTGTGTTCTTTTTAATTATATGAGTTTGTTTATGAGAATAAATTAAGCATGTGCAAATGATAATTATAGTTTAAAAAATTATGATTATTGGATTAATTCAAACATTATTTAATTCTTTAAGTTCATACATTTTGAAAAAGTATAAAAGAAAATTGTATATCTACAATTAAATTAGTTTTTGCTGTGACATTTGAGAGAAAAAATCATATATTTATGTCACATTTGAATTGAGAAAATGGAAATTTATTTAACTTTATGAGAAAATTTATTATAAATAGTTGATATTAATTTCGATTGGTTGGACAAAATCATCTTTGCAGTATGTGTAAATTCTATATATATTACAAGTTAAACTTATGATACTTATAACTATTTATTATTATGTATTACGATATTATTAAGATGAATTTGTCTCCTTATTCTTCTCAAATTACTTAGTTCCTGAAGAATTATGTGTAAAAATATTTATAGTTCCTGAAGAACTAATACATATTTTCTTTATGGGCAGATAAAGAATTAATGGTAAAAAAAATATGATCCATTGATCTACATTAGAACTTCGGTTTCGAAAGAGTCAGAAAAGTAATAGCCTAATCGAATTAAAATCCATAATTATATATGAACTAGGAAGTACTTGGACTTCCAAGTGATAGAGGTTATTAGCCTATTATATGCTAGTCACTGTTTTTGAAATACATGAATAAGGAAAACATGTTTTTATGACTCACACTTGAGGGGGAGACTGTTGAAATACAAGTGTGAGTTGATGTTAGATAGAGTTTTACTTGAAACTTGTTACAGTAAACCAGAAGTTTACTCGCCCAATTAATGTATAGTTGGGGTGGCTTGTCTGATTATCATAAATAATATATATGATGTAACAAATTATTGATGATTATGTATCGACATTCATTGAAGAACCAGAAGATTCTTCATGAATAGCCAACATATTATATGATCCAAGAATTCATATGCTGCTTATTCTCAATGAGAAATTGATTACATTGATATCACTAGTTATGATGTAAAATGGATCTCTACATTTCTGGAAATATATCAAATTCAGATATATGGGCCCATACCAATAGCATGTAAACCATACAAGTATTTAATAAATTTGATAGATGCATCTATAAGATGGTTACATGTATTATTATTAATTTGCAACCTGAAGTTTGCAAAATTATTTGAGTAATCATTATGTTGAGTGCACAAGTTCCAGACTATGAGATCCAGAAAATTTCTATTGAAAAAGATTGTGAATTTATATCCCAGAATTTCAGTGATCAACATGCATTTGTTAGAAAAATAATTGAAAAGTCTACTTAACAGAACGATCTGGCAAATTATTAGCCTCCATGAATGGCTAGATCAATACTTTTGAGAACAAGATCTTCATCTCAGGGTTGGCTTGTTTAGTTTGATATGTTGCAACATTTATGCAAATCAAGCCAATAAAATTCTCCCAATGAAATTGGCTTTTGGTCAGGAGCCAAATACTTTCCATCTTAAAAGTTTGAATGTGCAATGCTTATGTCTATTGATCCACCACAATATACATATAGATGGATATAAAAAATTGGAATGAATGTTGGGTAAGAACCTCCTTCTTCTTGTTTGTATCTAAAAGAAACAAAAGGATGTTTCTAAAAGAAGCAAATGAATTGAGGAGACTCATACTGCATGATTAATTGATTGTCATTCGACAAAATTTTCCCAACATGAGGGGGAGAAATTGAGTAGCTGGAAAGATAACATATAGAATGCATTATTATTATCAAGTATAGATCCTCAGATATATGATAGTATGAACCAGAAGTTCATCAAAGAATGCATCCATGAGATATTACAAAATATGTGCCAGATGCTATTACTGACCTAAGTGAGTATTACTAAATCTCATATTCCAGCTGAAAATGCTCCAATTAGTATAAATAAAAGTGAGACATGCCTGAAGCATGAGAGATTAATCGGTTCCAATATAATTATATTGAACAAAAGGAGCATGAAATTTAAAAGTTATATTAAGGAGGCATGTGCTCTAGAAGAGTACTGAGACATAACTAGTTGAAAAAAAAAAAGCCCCAGAAGAGGTTCAGGTACCTGAAAAGTAATGAAGAGATCTCAATAAGTTATGTCACAAGGGGAAAATGGAACCAAAAAGATAAAGTTGTCGACAACGTTTTTGATAATAATATCACGTGATTTTAAAGAGGATCTTATATGAAAATAGAAATTTGGCCAAAAGCAAAAGGAAAAGAGAAAAGATGCAATGGAAATATAATTATTATTTTAATATGTGAAAATTATGGACCTGCAGTCCAAACACATCAAATACAAAGTTATTATGTGACATATGAATATTTTTGTGAAAATAAAGAATTTCACAAAGGTCTAGTGATTATGATTAGGCATAGTATTTTATGGTGGATGCAATAATTTTTGCATATATTACTAGTCTAGCAGTATATCAAAAACGAAATATGCGTCTGTTAGATATCGTTATAGCCTATGCATGTGGCTCACTAAATAATGAGGTTTACATGAGAATTCTTGAGGGATTTAAAATGCCAGAAGCATTTATATAGAAGAAAATCATCCAATATTTAAAATATTATGTTGAATAAGATAATCTGAGTATACATATCTGGCTTAAAAAATGTATTAGAAAATAAATAATTTGTATCTTACTTGACCCATAAATCAAGTTATTGAATGCATCAATGATTGCAAAATGATTGATTTTGTTATGATAATTTTGTCTGCAAAATATATTCAACTAAATAGACTAGAAGTCCCATATATTTATTCTATAATAATATTTACATATATTGTCAATATTACGTGTTATAATTTTATTGGTAAAATAAGTTTCTGCAGGTATGCATGTAAATAACGAAATTAAGATTGGATATATAGTTCTATAAAACTATTATATGATATCATTTTGTTCAAATTAAATTAATCATGCTGATGCAAGATATATTATGGTGTTTTTTTAGAATAACCTTTCTTTGCAGTTTTCTTAGTGCAAGTGAAGAATATATTGATAATTCCACATATCTAGAAGATATGTTAGAGGAATACATTTCAATATAAGCTGATGATGATATACTATGCATAGTTCGACTAAAAAGAAGATATGCTTGAAAAAGCATTGGACGACTTGAGAAACTAGTATATTTTATTATGATAAAATGATATAGAGTTATGCTGTTGACAGGGGGAGCAAAGATCATGTTGTACTCTTTTCCTTAACCAAGGTTTTGTCCCACAGGGTTTTCCTGGTTGAGATTTTAATGAGGCAGCCTTAATATATATTGTGTACTCTTTTTCCTTCACTAGGTTTTTGTCCCACTGGGTTTTTCCTAGTAAGGTTTTAATGAGGCACAATATTTGTTATGGACATCCAAGGGGGAGTGTTATAAATATTGTATATATGTGGATGTCCATAACCCCCAACTCTTAGGATTCTTCATAGGATTCTTGATCTTTGAATGTCTTAAACCCATAACCCCCCAATGAAAACTTTAGAGGAGTTTTTCATGTTTATTGTCATTATTCCCTTATTCATTTCTTTGTAACTCTTGGATTAGACTTTTATGGTTGGGGGCCTATAAATAGAAGCCACATACAAGGCATTTGTACCCATATATGTATATGAGAAATACTCCTTTTTTTCTCTCCCAATTCTTGTCTTGCTATCCTCTTTCTACTCTCTAACTCTCTTATTTTTATAACAAAAAAAAGATTTATAAATTAATTGTCATTCCTAGGGATCAGGAGGAGTAATCGATATTGGATTTTTTCATTAGGATTATTCCTTATTCTTGTCTCTTATATGCCTATTTTATGATAAATAATTCAACCAAAATCAGTGTGTTAATATAGTTTTATTTCATATGAGAAGTAAATGGAATGGGGAGTTCAGTAATTAACTCGATTGTTAGCATTAAAAAAAAGTAATTAACTTGATTGACGTGTCACATGGGTTAGAAAGAGCAAATTAAAGACAACCCTGATTTATATATTAGGGGCATTTATAGAGTGACATGCTCTTCAACCACTCTCCTTAGGCGATTTCTTTGACCCTTTTTCTGTCCCTTTTTTTATTGTCGTTTAATTCCCATTATTGTAGTTACTTTTTCCCTTACTTTATCATTTTTCTTTTCTTTTTTTATTCTACCCTCTTTCTTGTTTTCGAAACATCTTGCACAACATGCCAACAATCTTCCACCAATTTTCATATACTACATTAAAAAAAAATGCAGGATCAAACAATGATCTGCTAGTCCTAATTACATTTTTTATCACACTAAAAATAACGAAAAATTGAATATAGGTCGATAATGTCAAAATAAGGATGATGATGATGATGATAGACAAGAATCAACTCAAGATGATGATGATGATAGACAAGAATCAACTCAAGTTTTTTAGTAGTAATAGAAAAGAATCAACTCAAGCTTTTGACCTTGACTCGAGAAAAAGAAATTAAATTAATCTAATCCAGTCACCTCCTTGAAAAATTTAAATCATTGTTATTACCACTCCTAACATTGCCAACTATTGTCACTGTAAATATTCACTACAAAAAAAAAAAAGGGAATCAGCAATGGAATTAGCAATGAAATTTGCAAATTACACCGCAAAAAAGACCATCACTAATTTATTAAAACATCAGAAATTCGTCACTAAACTAACTGGAAAAGGAAATTTCTTCATCAATTTGCTGTGTTGTGTTGCAATTATTATTTGGCAAAGCAGAACCCATAATAGAAGTAATAGCCGCTGTTAAAGCTGTTGTGAAGTTAGGGTCAGCTGCTATAGCAGCACTCAATTGTAAAGGGTCTTTGTTATTTATTTGAAGCCCTGAAAAGTTTGATTGATTGCTGCTACGAAATGCTTGAGCCAAAACCTGAGTAAAATCAAGAGGCGTATTATTTGAGAAAGGCATTTGAAATTGGGTAGAAGGTTGTGTAGTTGGAGGAATAGTTAAGTCCAATGTAATAGTTGGAAATGGAGCTGAGGCTGAGAGAGTTGCCATGTTACTTGAAGAACAAGGCAACAATGTCGTCCTTGCCAAGAAGCTTGCATTCCTTAGACTATCATTGCTTGACATTGATCCTGAAAGTGATGTCCTTATTGCTGCTGCTGTTGTTTGTGCCATCGCCATTGCTGCCGGAGGCAATGCGTGGTTATGACTTCCTTCATATGTTGTTACCAAGATTGTTCGATCCTCTGCACACCTTTGCACCTATAATTTGGTCCATCGTATTCGTTTACATTTTTGGACAAAAATATATTAAAAATATATGTTTTGTTTTTATTTATTACAGTTAGACCTTTCTAGTGTAAGTGACGAATTCAGGTTAATAAAATAGGGTTCTGTCTTGTTTTACAAGGAAAATATGAGTTCGAATCAAATAAGAGTTTCAAGAAGTAAATTATAAAATGCATAGTCATAACTGAGAGACTCATACATTGAAGACTATCAGTTTTTAAGATAATATGCAACAAATTTCTTATAAGCATGAAGAATCAATAACAAGAATCAGTTATGAGTCGAGTAATTGTAGGAGGAAAAGATCCACTTGTTTTAATTTGATTGGAAACTTTTTAATAATCATATACCCTTGTTTTGTTATATATGATTTTATTTTATTTATTTAGAAAAATGCTGAAATAAATTTGCTCCCATTTAGTTTATTTTAAATTTTAGACCCGTTATTAATTCATTTTTGAATTCGTCCCTGGATTTTTAAAAACTGATGAGTTGATCGAGAACTTGAAATAGCATAATGAAGGATATGAATAAATACCTGTTTCTTTACTGGACAACCTGCAGCCATGGTGCAGCGATAATAAGCTCTTGGGCATGGATTTCCTTTGGCCATCTTCTGCCCATATTTTCTCCATTGACAGCCATCAGTAATCTGATTATCACATTATTTAATCAGCTTACTAAATTCACAAATAATTAAAGACAATTAGCAAGTTCATAGTAAAATAATCCAGACATGATGCTATACTTGACACACCATAGGTGCTTCTGATTGAACTCTAACTGCGACTCTTGCCTTCCTCATAATGGCTTCCAGCTGATCATCAACATTTGTGGGAGGACTATACTTTTGATTAATATTCCCATCAGTTTCTTCTTCACTACTTTCAAATTCTCTGTTGAATTCCTTCTTATCATCAGAACCAATAATTCTGGCGCTACATTCCACTGACAGGGGTGATCTTGATCTGTCACTACTTCTCCTTACAGACGATGAAAGCGAAGGCTCATCGCTATTAGTCCCAACACCATTGATCGAAGCTAATCCAAGTTCTATAAATTGCCTAGGAACTAAGGTTTCTTTGTTACTCTCAGTCTGTTTCTTGTCTTTTGGACTTTCGTTTTCAGGATTCTCTTCGGCGTCCTCCTTACTGCCCTTGCTAGACTCGATAAAGTCCAAATGCATCTTTAAGGCATTATAATTAGTGTTAACCTTATTTAACGTGTCCTTCAGCTTATGATTTTCTCCCATTATCTGCTCTAACTCAGCTCGAAGAACAGCAATCTCAGTCAGCAACTGTGTAAATGACAGCCCCAGAGACATAACGTAAATGAATGATTTAATCCCAAAACAAAACAAAAAAGAACCACCCAACACAAAATGGTCATTCAGTTCATGGTTATATCTAGAAATCTCACCTCGCCGATCTTGGCTTTTTTCTCTTTAAAATTAGAACATATGTCAAACGCATTGTTCACTACGGATTGGTCACCGTTTGTAGTCAAGAGATTGAGACCAGTCTAAATGACGGAACAAGAAACAAAAGCATAGAGTGAATACGAAACATATAGATATATATACCCACACACACACACAAACATGAAGATGAGGTGAGAATGAAGGAAGAACTCACGTTTACTCTGAATAATTCAAGAGGATGAGGAGGAGTAGAGGAATCATGGTTGGACGAGGAAGAGGAAGGCTTGAGATTGTTGTCAGAGAAGAAGTCCATCACAGGGAAGGGTTTGAAGGGCGAAGTCTTCAAGAGGTAAAGAGTTGGGAACAAGGGGATTGGAGAGGAAGAAGAAGCTGCTCAAAGATGGATCTGAATCAAGGAAGAGTCCAACCCCCTCTGGCCATAAGTTTGTATATAGAAGAGAGAGGAAGAGAGAGAGAAGAAGGGAAACAGGTGGACGTAGACTAGAGAGAGAAGTGAAGTCTTGAAAAGTGATGCAATTGACTCGGCATTAAAAATGGAGGAGCAAGACTCATCAAGTATTCCCAACACGCTGGCAAGTGATGATCATCTTGTTTGTTTGTGTTTTGCGTTGAACTATCAAACCATCCCCATATAGCTCTCTCTCGTCCTTTTTTATTTTTTTCAAAAGTTCCATTTCAATTTCAATACCTAGTCAGCTTTCCATTGAAAGTTTGGTCAAAATAATAATTTAAATTGGAGAGATTTTAAACAAGGGAAAATCGCAAAAACAGACTGTGAAATTAGAAAACTTACACACAAAGACCGATTCACAAAAATTGTGATCAAAACCCATACTAATGTTGTCATAGGTCCCAATATGCAATTTTTCTAATTCCACGGTCTTTTTTTACAATTTTTCCTTCAAACAATATATAAAAACATTTTTTAGTAAATCAATTCATTACACATGTTATAGATTACATAATTTAAATTATTTCCACTCAAGCACAGTTCTAATGTACATGATTGAATAAGAATAATTTAAGAAAGTCAACACATATTTGTTATAAATAGCTAACTTAGCTATTTTTTGAATCTTTCCAAATTAATTATTCAGCTCTTATATTAAGAACCGGGGATAGTATAACCAACGGTTGGGTGTTATGTGTAAAATTTAAAAGCGGCTTAGGGTGATTTATTATGTTAAGTTTTAAATACTAAGACAGCTATTTATATATAATTTAAAGTCTAGAGAAGTTTTAATGCAATTGAATAATAAATTAAAAGGTATAGATTAGTGTTAAATACTAAAATTAAAGGGAAAATTAATCTTTAAGTTCTCCAATTCTTAATTCACTTATAACTTAGTCCCTCAATTATGACTTGATACAACACAGTCCCAAAACTTTTAACCCGCTTATATCTCAACCCTCATCTTTTTACTTTTTATAATTCAGTTCTAAGTCATCTTATGTGGCAAAAATTGATTCAAACTCAGCTCCCATATGGCAAAAGGTATTCCAACTCATCTCCATGTCTGCAGCCTTACCTCCTCACGGGTCACTGTCTCTGGCCAAATTCCACTGTCTCTATCCCCACTCCATAAGATGCGAGAAAGAGTTATAAGCGAGTCGAAATTAAGGATTTGAGTCATATCGAATCATTATTGAAGGACTGAATTATAATAAATTCAAAAATTAGGCGGCTAAAGGATTTATTTTTCGTAAATTAAATCAAAAAGAAGGAGGAGGAGATTGACCCAGTCCAATAAATAATTAACGACTTTGAAGGGAGTGGGGCTCATAACAGTTAGTAATCTTGACTTTGGACCCCTAAGAAGCGTGGATTCAATGCTGGTTGACCCGATCACATAAAAATAGCATCTATACTAAATATTGTTATTTACTTATTTTGTTGTAATCAATCTATCCAAGTATTTTAAGTCCGAATGACTATCTGTCAAAGTCAACCCTCCCTCTTCTCCACATCCTTTAATTCCTGCCTCTTCTTCCACTTCATCTTTAACTCATTCCTCTCTCATTTTCCCTAAGGTCTAATCTTACAGTATCATAACTTTATGATCTCCATCCACACATATCAAACTTATTTATGTATATAGCTATGTTATTAGCTATAAAAAAATGTGGCTTCAATTTAATTAACTGCATTTTTCTTATTCTCTTGTTTCCAATAGAAGTATATTGTTATGGTAAATTGTTCATATTAAAAAGATTTCTTCCCACAAAAATAGGACTGTAGGCTTTGTGGGTTATACTTAAATCAGAGTACATGTATTTCATATCTGCAAGAAAAGATTTGTCTAACGAGCACTGGCTTTCGCGCAAGTGCTTTTGGGCTGTTGGTTTTTTTTTTTAATTAAATTATAGTTTATTCATATGATTGAAAGTAAAATAAAAATAGCCGAATAATGATGATTCATAGTATAGGGTTGATAACTTATTAAGGTAGTCACTAGTCACACACATATTTTGACACAATATCACCAACTTCAATCCTCTTTCAATTATTGGGATTATTATATTATTACTAGTTTATATTATTTGTTTAAATTTATTGGGTAATCAATTAATGATACTTTTGCATTTTCAACTATCATTTTCAATTTTTTTCCCAAAAATCAATTCATTGTTAATAAATCATTTGATTACATTTAATGGGTGATGCAAAGGATGGAATGGTACTTTTGCATTTTTCAACTGAACCATTTTGATGTTTCCCAAAAATCATTCAGTTTTAGTTAATCATTTAATTTAATTTATTGGGTGATGAAACTATAAGGATTGATGAATGATACTTTTGAATTTTCAACGGTATCATTTTGATCATTTTCCAAAAATTATTCACTGTCAAAATTAATTCAATTGAATTTATTAGTGAGATTGTATCATCTGCTTTTGGAATATATTATTTCCTATACTCAAATAACATTTATTATTTTATCACTCTGAAATTCAAATTTAATATATAGCACTTTTTACCACAATTTAATTGTATTTTGTAAAGTATATCACATACAGTCAAGTAATACTCACCCTTAAACAGCAATTTATCTAGAATTGTTTTTTAGTTTTTTGAAATATTTTAAATTTTATTTAATCAACTTATAATTAATGATAAAACAATTCATTATCATGGTTGAAATATTTGTTTTAAATTCTAAAACTTGTGAAGTTATTGAGATATTAGGAGAATAATATTATTTTATTTGTACCAAACATATAAGTGAAGATATGACCCTGATTAATTAATAATTTGACATAACAATTTTTGTGGACTCAAGAAACTAATTACTCCCTCTGATCCTTATTATATAAATCCACTAACTAATTTACACGTAACAATAAAACTACCTCTTCGAAACTCGGAGGAACTAATCTCAGAGAGTAGCTTCAACAAACTCACATGAACTCATGAAGCGCCTTTTCTAACCAGAATCATGTGGTCGTCTCTGGAGGTGTAATAAAGGACACAAATCAGTGTCTTCTGGAAGGCTTCCAACTGAAAATAGAAAAAATTAACAGCCTTGCTGCAAAATTAGGGAGATGTTTAATAGGGCTCAAAATGGCTTAGGATCTATTCAATTAATTGCAAGTGTGGTTACTGAGATGCATGAGAAATGGATGCTGGTAGTGAAAATTCAAATGATGCTTCAAGGACCCTGGAAGGTGGAACTTCAAATTATTGATAATTTAACTGGTCTCCAAGTTTTGAGCTCAGCCACGTTAATTGACGTCCTTGGTTTAGCTATTGTTGGCACTATAGTTAGCTAGCTCTTCTTGCGAACAATGTTAACGGCCAATGTTAGTTTTTTAATTATTAATGTTAATTTTTGGATTAGAGTGTAAATTTGCTCTGAAAGTTTTCACTCATGATCACTAGGTACCTAAAAGTTTTTTCATGCAAATTTACTCCAAAAGTTTAAAATCATAACAATATTACCCATTACCATTAAAAAAACTAACATTGACCATTAAAATAATAGAGATATTGACCATAACATTTTTAATGATAAGGGGCAATATTGCCATAATTTTAAAGCTTTGGGGCAAATTTCTACTCAAAAAACAATTTTTAGAAGCCCAGTGCTCCTAAATGAAAAACTTTTAAGGCAAAATTACATATTGATCCTTGAGTGTTTTAAGGGTTAAACAACATATTGCCCTGAAAGTTTTTACAAAGGAGCTATCAATATCCGGAAGTATTTTTTTAGAGCAATGTCACCCTAGAAGTGTGAAAAACATAGCAATGTCACCCCAGAAGTGTGAAAAACATAGCAATGTCCACCAAATCTGATGGAACCCAAACGGATGTCATGCACGTAGGATTTTTTGACACATAGGATTGAAGGTTATTGTCCACACTAGAGTAAGTGTTCAGTCACCCACCCAGCTTCCACCCCACCACCAATGTGTAATGGTAAGGACATTTAAGGGGTTGCACTGGAGCATAACAGAGTTATTGAGTGGAGTTTAGGGATGGTTGAATATTACACCTTACTCCTAGGATACCTTAGGGTCCAATTAGAATTACTTTTGACCATTTTGGATAGCATTAAACTCAAATATTCATTCTGGATGCTGATTTTCATAAAATCACTGTTCATTTAATAAAAATCCAGTTTTTCAGTCCAGTTTTGAAAATTCGTAACTTATTTTAGAAAAATCAAAATGGAATGGTTCAAAATTCTATGGAAAGCTATTTGAATGCTCTTTCAAGAAAAAATAATCTTGTGAAACAATTCATTTTGAGTCAGTGCCAGAATTTTTGGAAATTTGCCATTGTTACTTTGATAAAAACTCTTTTTCCAAATTTCAATCTTTAATTTTGAAAAATCGTCATAAATTGTACCGATGTCTAATTTTAAAGTGCTACCTATCAAATTGAAAGTCAGGATGTGAACTATAGGAGTGCCAAATTTCGTGATTAAATTCATTCAGTAACATATTCAAAACGTAGCTCCAAGTTACAGTATACTTAGGGTTACAACAACCAAGTAAGTATACTTATACATAACCTAGAATGTTAGATTACATTTGGAAGGAAAAAGATTTCAAAGAAATCCTGGTAGCAAGAATAATAACTATAACATCAAGCAAGCATCATCATTATGCATATCAATATTAGCTACCATTGGAGAACTAATTCTATCATAATTAGGCAATCTCAGACATGCAAAAGCCAAGGCAATAAAATGCAGGAAGCAGCCATATCACAATCATCATAGTTGATCCATATAATAGCAAGCATCTATCCCATCATAAACAATACAATGTCAACATTAGTAGTTAATT